GCGCACAGCCATGCTGCAATCCCTTCTTCTGTTGGAATTTTGGGCATGTATGTGAATGTCCCTGGCATGATTTTCTTTCTTTTTAAAAAAATATTAAATTTTTTAAAATGTAAAAATTTATTAATTATTAAATTTTATTTATTCATTCCTTTATTTTTAATTTGACAGAGAGAGACAGAGAGAGAGAGAGAGAGGAAGAGGGGAAGTGAGAAAGCAAGCCACCAGGTCCAGGACTTGAACCATGGTTAGCCATGTGGAAGTGTCCAGCATCTTAACCACCATGCCACCTGCTGTTCCCATCTGGCATGATTTTCAAGCTGCCAGGTCTGGGATTTGAGCTGCAGTTGACTACCATGCCACCTGCCGGCCCCACTACTCTTTATTTATTTAAAGAATTATTTTATTGGGACCAGCACATGGCATAATGGTTACATTGCTGGACACTCATGTAGTTGACCATGATTTGAGTCCCAAACTTATGCCAGGTGTGTGTACGTGTGTGCCCAATATCCTATAGAGTGCATGTGCTCACCAGACAGACAGAGACATAGAGACAGAAAGTGAGAAATCACCCCCCAGGGGGGATGGTCACGCCGCAATCCCTTCTCCTCCATTCTCCTCTCGGGATCTTGGGCATGCACGCACACACGCCCAGTGTGAGTTTTAAGCCACCAGGTCCGGGACGCGAACCACAGTCGACTACGTGGGAGTCCAGCGACATATCCATTACGCTAACTGCTGGTTCCATGTGCCCAATATCCTGAGAGGAGAATGGAAAGAGAAGGGATTGCTATATGGCCATCCCCCCAGGGGGTGATTTCTCGCTTTCTGAATCTCTGTCTCTCTCTGTCTCTCCAGTGAGTGCTCATGCCCTATAACAAAAATCTCTCTCTGAAAAAAAAAAATATATACACACACATACATATATATGTATGTATGTATATTTATTTATTTTAATTTGACCAGTGAGGGACAGAGTGAGAGAGAGAACGAGAGAAAGCAAGCCGCTGGTCTATCTGGGACTCAAACCGCAGTTGACCATGTGAGAGTTCAGTGCCGTTAACCACCATGCTATTTTTCTTTTTAAGAATTATTTTATTTAACTTTATTTGTTTATTTATTTTTATTCGACCAGACAGAGTGAGAGAGAGAGGAAAAGAGAGAGGGAGGGAAAGTGAGGAAGCAAGCTGCCAGGTCCAGGACTCAAACCACAGTCAGCCATG